TCCCTCATTGTGTTTATGTGTATAACTTGTGAGCCTGATCTCTCCAACACTTTTAACATGAGCAGGTGATAAAATTTTTAAACTTTTTTTTCACACATAGAAGAAATGATCATGTGGGATTTTTACTTTCAGTATTTTTCTATGGTTCGTTATGTTGATGGCTTTTCATATATTAATCTATGCCTACATCCCTGGGATAAAGCCTACTTCATCTTGAAGGATAATGTTTTTGATGTGATGTTGTATCAATGTCCATAAGAGAAATGGGTTTGAAATTCTCTTTCTTCTTGGGTCTTTGTGTACTTTAGGTGTCAGACTGATTGTGGCCTCATAAAATGAATTTGGCAGTTTTTTTATGTTTATATTATATGGAATAATTTGAAGAGTATTGATACTAGCTCTTCTTTGAAAGTCTGATATAATTATATGTGAAAACCATCTGGCCCTGAGCTTTTCCTTTTTGTTGGGAGACTTTCAATGACTGTTTCTATTTTCCTATAGGTTATAGGACGGTTTAGATTGTTTATCAGTACTTGATTTAACTTTGGTAAGTGGAACTTATCAATAAATCATTTATTTCACTTAGATTTTGTGGAGTACAGGCTGTTGAAATAGGATGCAATGACTGTGGATTTCCTTATATTCTGTTCTTATGATCCCATTTTCATTTCTGATTTTGTTAATTTGAGTGTTGTTACCCTGCATCTTAGATTGGCAAAAGCTTTGTCTCTCTTGTTGATTTTCTCAAAACACCAGCTCCTAGTTTTGTTGAATCTTTCTATTGTTCTTTTATTTTCTTTTTTGTAACTTATTTGTTTCAATCCCCAGTTTGTTAAGTTCCTGCCATCTACTCCTGTTGAGTGTGTTGCTTCCTTATAATCTACAGTGTTCAGATGACTAGAAAGTTAAGGTTCTAATATAGGATCTTTCTAGTTTCTTCATGAAGATGTTTAGTGCTTTGAACTTTCCTCTTAGCACTGCTTTCATTATATCTCATAAGTTTGGGTACGTCGTGCCTTTGTTTTCATAGAATTCCATAAAGTGTTTAATTTCATGCCTTATTTCTTCTTTGACCCAGTCATTGAGTAGAAAGGTTCTCAGCTTCCATGAGTTTGTAGGCTTTCTGTTGTTTCTGTTGTTTTTGAATTCTAACTTTAAATCCACAGTGATCTGATGTAAGGAGTTATGTCACTCATCTTGTATTTGTTGAGACTTGTTTTGTGACTGAGTATATGGTCAGTTTTGGAGAAGATTCCATGACATGCTAAGAAGTAGGTGTATTCTTTGGTCTTGTGTTGAAATGTTCTATAGATATATGTTAGGTCTATTTGATTCTTAACCTCTGTTAATTTCATTATTTCTCTTAACTTCTTAACTTCTTTATCCATGGACTGTCTGTTGGTCAGAATGGGATGTTGAAGTCTCCCACTATTATTTTTAATTTAAACTATTTTATTTATTTACATTCAAGTCATTGTCCCCCCCCACTCAATCTCCATTACCAATTGAGGTTCATTGTATGATTTAAGTTTCATTAATGCTTCTGTTAAGAATGTGTGTGTCCTTGGCTTTAGATCATAGATATTCAGAATTAAGATAGCCTCTTCTTCAAGTTTTTCTTTGATGAGTATGAAGTGCATTCCCCATCTTCTTTGATTACTTTTCGCTGAAATTCTGTTTTATTAAATATTAGAATGGCTATTCCAGCTTGTTTCTTGGGTCCATTTGCTTGCAAATAGTTTCTAGCATTTTACTCTTGGGTTGAGTCTAATGTTTTTGCTGTAGTATGTTCTTTGTACATAGAAGAATAATGGATCCTACTTATGTATCCACTCATCTAATCTGTGTTTTTTTAATTTGGGAATTGAGGCCAATGATGTTGAGAGATATTAATGACCACTGTTTGTTAATTTGATGTTGATTATGATTGTGTGTTTGTACGTGTGTGTGTGTGTGTGTGTGTGTGTGTGTGTCTGAGTTTCTCTTCTTTGGGTTTTACTGGTGTGACATTATTTATTTCTGTGTGATCCTGGATGTAGTTAGCCTATTTGGATTTGACTTTTCCTTTTAGTATCAAAATTAGGACTGGATTAGTGGGAAAAAATTGTTGGAAACTGGTTTTTTCATGAAATATTTTAGTTTATCAGTCAATGGTTATTGAATATTTAATGGGTACAGTACCCTGGAATGACATCTGAAGACTCTTAGGATCTGCAAAACATCAGCCTAAATTCTTGTAGAGTCCATTGAGAAATTACTCCAATTTTGATAGGACTGCCTTTATACTTTACTTTGTATTCTTCTCTTGAAGCTTTTAATATTCATTTCTTTTTATACACATATAGGATTTTGATTATTTTTTGTCAAAATTATCTTCTTCTGGTATAATATATGGGGTGTTCTAAAGTCTCTTGTACATTTATAAGAATCATTTTCTTTAGGTTAGTGAAATTTTCTTCTATGATTTTGTTGAAGATGTTTTCTGGGCCTTTGACCTGGGAATTTTTTTCTTCTTCCACGTCAATTATTCTTTGGCTTCATCTTTTCATACTGTCCCAAATTTCCTCGACTTTTTTTTGTGTCATCAAATTTTTAGATTTTGCATTTTCTTTGACTATTGTATCAATTTCTTCTCTTCTATTGTTTATTCATTTGATTCTTGTGTTTTAATCCAGCATTATATCATTTGTATTCTATTGATGAAGCTTATGTTTGTACTTCTTGTTTTCTTTCCTAGGTTTTTCATCTCTAGAATTGCCTCAGTTTGTGTTTTCTTTTTAGTTTCTATTTCTATTTTCAGTTCGTGGCAGTTTTATTCATTTCTTTCACATATTTGTATGTATTTAAGTGCATTTCTTTATAGGATATATTCATTTCCTCTTTAAAATATTCTCTCATATTTATAAAATGGGGTTTAAGGACATTTTTTGTACTCTGTTGTAGAATGCCCAGGGCTTGCTTTTCCAATATAGCTGGGCTCTAGTGGTGCTATATTCCCCTGGCTCTTGTTCACTGTCTTCTTATACTATCTGTTAGCCATCTGGTTTTTTGTGGTTAAGGTTGGATGATCCTGCTGCCACCAGGACACCCCAGGAAGACAGGGAGAGCCATGGGACAGACAATGGAGGTCAGTGGACAGCACACAGCTTACCTATGCTGGCTGTTACCCAGGACATACCTGACTGGCAAGGGGTTTATGGGAGAAGATTTTAAGCTGGTTGTTCCTGTGGACCCCCCTCAAAGCCACAGGGAAACAAGCATCCTACCAGCTCCTCAGGATGGCAGGCCAAACCCAAAGCTAGGCAATGTAGATTAGAGGACCATACATACAACTTATACTGCTACCATGCCTTAGGTAGACCAGATTATTTAGGAGGGAGGTTCCAATAGGTTTTTTCTCTGGGGCTCCTCAAAGGCTTCCATGGAGAAGCACGATGCTCTTGTGGTCCTACAAGTCTCTAAAATGTAAATTTTATTCATCTGATGAATTACAGTGGAATAAGCTCAGAACTGCTAGTTCTTTCAGAACTCTGGCAAGCTGATTGAAATCAGCTGTTTGGGCCGAAAAGATTCTAAGGTGAGTGATTCAACATGGCTTCTCTCAACTTCTCACTGAAATGATCTGCTTGGCCTCATCCCAGCTTTGGGCAGTCTATTCTCATTTTCTGGCTCCTTCTTATTCTCCGTCTTCAACTCACTATGCTGAACTACACCTGACTACATGAACTCGTGAACCAAATTAATTCCATTGGACTCACTGTACTCACTGCACTGATTCCAAACTGACTGACTTTCTCACTACTTACACTGCACTTGAATGGGTTATTTTCTATCTCTTCTTTGAGAGTTCAGCATATTCTATCTCTGATTTATTCTATCAAGTTTTTCTCTGATTATATGCCTGTTAAAGAGAAGTCACTTTCGAAAATAGCTGCTTCGCTCTAGAAGCTAGTATTACCTACATTGCTTAGGATTAAAGGTATGTACTAAGGGAATGTCTCTATCCCTATCAGACCACATAGAACAATGTCTTTGGGTGTAAACACTTGCAAGGAAAGCAAACATGATGAATTAAAATTTTTCTATAGTCCTATTTTGTTATCTACTGATGTGACCAACACCATGATCAAAAGCAGTATGGGAAGGAAAAGGACATCTTGACTCTTATAAACCCACATGGAGGAAAATCAGGACAATAAAGCAGAAGAACTGGAGCCAGACAGTGGTGGCACATGTCTTTAATCCCAGCACTTGGGAGGCAGAGCAGGTGTCTCTCTCTGTCTGTCTGTCTATCTATCTATCTATCTATCTATCTATCTATCCCTGTCTAATACCCCCCTTAACTTCTCTCTCTATGCCTTAAATAAACTCTATTCTATACTATACCCAACTTCTCATCTTGTGGCTGGTACCTCAGGGGAAAAGGGATGCCTCAGCATGGGCCTAAAGAGGCAGACCCATCCCCCACAACATACCTCACTCTACCAAACATTTCTTGGTTTTCTTTTTCTTTTTATAAAATACAACAGATCAAATATAAAAATTGAAAAAAAAGAAAAAAACCAAGAAAAAGAATCTCTAATCAAAAAGATTCCCATTTCCAACCTAATTCCTCAAGTGCAATTGACAATGATATACCATTGGATTGAAGATAAGGAATCCTGTTCTACTTGCATTGCATGAAGAAGGATTCACTTACTGTAAACTTCTGTACCACCCTCTTTTTTTTTCTTTTTTTGGCTTCCAAGGCATGCACAATCAAACCTGTGTTTACTTTGAATTGGAAATCCAAAAGTTCCAGGGAAAATATCCTGAGTTTGAGCCCCATTTCCTCTAAAAGAACAAAACTAAACTAAACAAAGGCAATCACAGGCACATGGAGAGGAAACAGGAAGCCTTGTCCTGTGCTTCCTTTTATCCCCACAGGATCCTCCCCCAATGCAAATCAACCCTCAGACTCAGGCTGAAAGCCCAGACCTAGCTGAGAAGCCTCATCTCCTCCTCACTAGAGCCTCCATCAGAGCATGGCTGTCCTGGTGCTGCTCCTCTGTCTGGTGACATTTCCAGGCTGTAAGTATTTCAGAGTTTTAGGAAAGGGACCCAACATATCATTTATGAAAAATATGACTGAGGATGATGTTGTTTGTCCCCAGGTGCCCTGTCTCAAGAGCAGCTGAAGGAGTCAGGACCTGACCTGGTGCAGCCCTCACAGACCCTGTCTCTCACCTGCACTGTCTCTGGGTTCTCATTAAGCAGCTATGGTGTACATTGGTTTCGCAAGCCTCCAAGAAAGGGCCTGGAGTGGTTAGGAGGAGTATGGTCTGGTGGAGGCATATACTATAGTTCAGTTCTCAGTTCCAGACTCAGCATCACCAGGGACACCTACAATAGCCAAGTTTTCTTTAAAATGAGCAGTGTGCAAAGTGAAGACACGGCCATGTACTACTGTGCCAGATACACAGTGAAAAAAGTCCAGTAGGACTTGAACAAAAACTTTCCTACAGGAATGTCATGACCAGCAGGGGGCGCTGAGGACCAACAAGGACTGCCCAGTATCTCTTTAGAATCTGAAGTTCTGGCCAATGCTGTATGAGTATGGGTTTTAATGTTAGAGATGTGAATTCTTATTTGAGCCATGGAAATTCTATAGAGCCTGCTTATCCCTGTTATACTCTATTAAACTTCTTTTTTGTTCACACACTGGAAGAATGTTTAAACGGTTCTGTAACAGTATATAATAAGAACAAATAATTGAGCTGATATTTATTAAGAAATACTCAGTGTAATACTGTGTAGGTGAGGACAGCCAGCGAGATTTTGTAATGTTTTGTTTCTCTTATGACTGCTGTTTTAGTAGCATTTCTACTTTTTACTAAATTAATGTCTGAGATCAACTGTATTCATCTTCTCTTACATGAAGTTTTCAAACACATGTCCACGATTTAATGATGACATAGTTACCATTCTGAATGCTAACTCATAAGATCTACTCTCCATATATGAAGAACATCATATGCTCTTATTAACTGTGGCCAACATCAATACATGCTATTGAAATAATCCTTCTCATCTAAATCATTAGCCTTATTATTCTACACTGTTCAAGTTATGATCAGCCTGTACTAATTTTATGTTACCTCAGATCAGGTTTTGTGTTCCACTTGGATCCTGGTGACCTCTGAAAGAGTGTCCTCCAGGTGCATCCAGCTTGATGTGGTGTTTAGGATCCTATGAACAGAGCTGCAGCAAAAATGAGAGGGAAAGTGATGACTGTTCCTTCAGGTGCTATAGAAACAGTTCGGTGGTTATGAGAGGATACTACTCTAGGAAGGCATCCAGGTTCAGTTCCTGACCCCAACAATGAGCATCTCATATGCATTTGTAAGTCCAGAATAACAAGTGTATTTGGCCTCCATGCACTCTACACTGCCCACATGGGCATATATATACATAATTGAAAATATAACATTTTATCAATATTATTCATTCAGTGCTAGGAAGTAGCCAAAGGAAGAGTTCTTGTGTCATATATATGAGTAGTAGATTCAATTGTTAAAATTTCAAAAACAGAGTCCTCATTTTGATTAATAAATATTGTTCTAGAGACAACAATATTTACTAGTATAGGTAAGGACATTGGCTCACCAGATCAGTCTTATATTCTTCTCAATTACAACTTAACACTATCCCTCCTCTGAGATATAGGCTCACAGGGTAACACATAGATCAAGCAACAGAGAACTGAGAGGGGATGCCCTCAAAGGTTCTGCCCTACAAACTTTGACTGGGCTACTTCAGCTTGACCAATGAATATGGGCAAAATAAGTTGCATAAAACTAATATCTCTAATTTCCAGAAAACTTTGTAAGTAAATCCAAAATTCCATATTGCCTATAAGTGATGATATGACAGCCATTTATTAAAAGAAATAAAAACAAGTGTTATTAAGTATGAAGATAAAAGTATCCCTGTTCCATGTCATGGGAACAAGTTTCTTCTACAACATTGGGAAATAGTTTGGAGGAAACTGAAAACATTTACACATACAAGTTCAGTCATGTGACCCAGAAATCACAGATAAGTAGACATGGAATTTCCACTTTCATTTAAAATAGGTTTTTGTCCTACCATGTTCATTTTCTGACCCTGCTGTTCCACTGTCTCTTAAAGATAGATTCTCTGTGGAGGCTTGCACTGTGAAATCTAATAAGGACACCCTCATTGAACTCTGCTTCGAGCTTTCACATCTCTATAGCCCTTCTCCTATGTGTTTTCAGCCTAGACTTTTCCATAGTTAAAAGTGGAACTAGAACAATGTAAATCATTTTTCTATAAAAAGTATATGGATATAAATTAGGTGTCCTGGCAGGTTGTATTTCAACCTGATACAAGGTAGGTCATCAGAGTGAGGAAGCCTCAATTGAGAAAATATCTCCATAAAATCAGGCTGTAAAGAAGCCTATGAACTACTTTCTTAATTAATGAGGGAAACAGAAGGGCTTAGCCTATTATGGGTGAGGCCAACCCTGGGCCTGATTCTGAAATCCATAAGAAAGCAAGCTCAGCAGTCAATGCAGAGGGAACTCTTCTCTATTCCATGCCCTTTACAAGCTTCTAGCAGAAAACATAGCCCAGATATGATCAGAATTAAAAAAAAAAAACATGGATTAAAGATATGCTTTCCTACCTCAAAGTTCCAAATTAAAGTATACCAACCCATTTAAAATTAAGCAAAAATCTCTCACAGGTGTACACTCCATTTTTGGTTTTTACTCAGGTTGAGGACACAAAATATCAATCACTGTGGATGTATAAATATCCACATATTAATATTTGAATTATGATGAGTTTTCAGCTGAGTAAATAGCCATAAAAACCCTGTAGTGTAAGATTAGAAAACAGACATTGCTTCCCAAAGCCAATATAAATACTCCACCTTCTGATTGTTTCAGCCACTTTAGGCCATGTGTACTGACACTGCCCATGCCTTCTGTATGATTTCAGGCATTGGTAATGCAATACTGGCTCTTTTCCTTAAAACAGAAGTTGACTCAATTTTTGCTTTGGAAACAGAATCTCCAGATGCTATTGCTTCCATACTCATGGACTGTTTCCCTGAAGGCTCTCTCTTTCAACCTTCCTGTGTATTCAGTGGTGGGGAATCTCTACTATACAGCATCATTGTATATCCCGCTGTCTTAAAACCAAGCAAATACTTTGTGTGTTAATTAAACTTATTATTAAAAGATACATAAAATGTAAATATCATAAATGGTGCCACCCTCCATCTATCTGGGACTGATAAAAGGCCTGGGAGGATCAGGTAAATACACTTACAATTAGTTAGTACCCCTTACCAATAGGAGATCACCAAATATTTATATACCCTTCTATCTAGCATTTGGACTTCTTCTCCTGGAATTTTTACTACAGGACTACCCAAATTCCAACTACAGACTACAAAGAGCCTTCAACTTGTCCAACAAAGGTAGAAGAAGGAAACAAATATAATGACCTTGCATCTTCAACTCCCTGAACACCTCTCCTAAGATATAACCCAAAGCCCCACCTACCACTTAATCAATATTCCATGACTCTTTTTCTAGCCTCTGCTTGTCAGAACACTCTACAGTCATGCTTTTCCTATTCCCAGACTATTCCAGTTGCCCCATGTGACCAGAATATCCAAACACTGACATTTGACCTCATTCTATCTTCTATCCTCTTGAGACTTCCTAAATTGAATCATCAGCTATCTCTTACTCTGTACCTCTTCTGGTTCATCTCTGTGGGGAAAATTTAAAAAGGCCGCCACAGCGGTGCAAGCCCCAGAGGGGCTTTCGCCGCCGTGGCGGGTCCCACATTTGGGAAGAGGTCCTATGGTTCCAGCGGCCTGAGGGCCTTGGCGGAGGCAGGCCCCAGTAACACGAGGAAGTCCTTGGTTCTAAAAAGGTTTATTGTCATGGCGGATAATAGATGGATCTAGGCATACCCCCAAAAAACTCAGGGCAGTCCCGAGTTATATAGGGAGGGAGAAAGTGGGAGGATCTGGGAGAGGAATGTTTAATTTGCTCTGCCTTCTGGCCTTCATTAGTATGTAAATCCCTAGGGCCTGAGGCCTATAGCCTGGCCTATGTGACTCTATGGAGATCTATGTGACTGCTTTTCAGGATCTTGGATGATGGGAGGGACCGAACTCCTGCCGGTTCTCATGCAGAATTCCACGGAGAATCTCGGGGTTCTAGGTACCTGCTCAACCATGACCCAGGATACCCTTATACAGTCCCACACATCTCCATCCCAACTGTCACAAATCCCTGCTAACTAACTGAAAGATAAATACAAGTTGTTCCAGATGAGATGACCTCACTAATACTTATAGTACTTTTTGCTCACTTAGCACCTCTCTTTGTGTGTTTCTCTCTCTCTCTCTTTCTCTGTCTCTTCCCCCTCACTATCCCCCTCTCCCAGCTCCTCCATGTCTGTGTTTGTCCTGGGGACATATAAGAGATTTTCCCTCTCCAAAACATTTCTCTTTGCAAGAGATCTTCAGTAAGAGCCAAGGTCCAGAATTAATCAGCCCTATGCATACCAGGGTTTTGGATAGATTTTTTCTTAGGTATGTTTATATAGACAACAACAGCCATGATAATATCATGACTGTGATAGGCAAACTGTGTTCAGAGGATGGCATCTCGCAGAGCTGTTTCACATGTTTCACCTCTTACATTCTTTCCATGTCCTCTTTGTCAGTATTCCTTGATCCTTGGGGGAACATAGATGAAACTGGATATCTCTGTCATACAACATTATGAAGATTGAGAAGGAAAAACACTGTTTTTTTCTCCCATGCGATGAACATAGATTCTGTGTGTCTGAGACAGTCTTTGTATGGTACATTGGTTTTGTAGGTTAGAAAACTAGAATGGGAACCCTGGAAGAAAAAGAAATACTGAATGAGGGGAAAATGGGACAAAAGGCAGTGTTGTATTATTGGCAATGTGAAGCAAATGAAAAAATTCACTTAAAAGCCCTTTATTTATTAGTTATACTAGTTTGAGAAAAGAAAAACTACCCTAAAACAACATAAGAGCAACTGCCTGGTATAAAAATGAAAGTCAACAACAGTGGAAGGGATTTAGAAGGTATCGAAAGGAGAACTTCAGGTCACAAAACAAGAGTTTGAAGCAAAAAAAAAAAAAATTCTTCCTAGCAAACTCTGACCAATAAACAGAAAGTTAGAAAGGGTGTCGTATTTGTACGCCTTTATAAGGCCTGAAGACAGTTTTATTTCAGAAATAAGTAAAATTCAAAAAGGCTCAAGTATCCCCATCACAAAGAAGGTGTCTGGATAACTTCTACAGGCAGATGTGGCACTATGAGCTTCATCAGAAAGAGGCCATGTCCATCTGAGACAGTGGAATAGACTGAGCTTGACCGGAGACTACTCATCATGGACTTCAGGATCTCTTGTGGTTTTTCGTATTGTTATTTTAAAAGGCAATTGATGGACAGGAGATGCTAAGTGTTCATA